CTGATACTCGTTTTGGTCATCAATTGTTAGGATATGGTGCCTTGTTGTCCATTTACTTGGGTGTCACGAGTGCACTTGGCTTCTTAATGATTGTTGGTGTTCCCTTTATCAGCATGGTTGGTGTTCTACCGTTCTTGGTTGTAAGTATCGGCATAGACGATGTTTTTATTATTCTACACGAACTTAATGAAATGATCCGTCAAGATTTGCCTGCGATGCATATGTTAAGTGGGACAATGGCTAGAAGTGGTCCAACTATTACCATGACAACCCTTACTGATCTTGTAGCATTTGCCGTTAGCAGTAGTTCCATCTTCCCTTCGATTCGGCTTTTCTGCACTTACACAGCTGTTGCAATTTCATCTGTTTTCATTCTGTTGCTGACATTTTTTGTTGGTTGCATGTGGTTCGATATTAAAAGAATCAACGCTCGACGCAGAGATTTCTTGCCTTGCCTAATGAGTCCTCCTCCAACTGATTGTTGCTTTGGAATTCGGAGAAGTGGCTTTGACAACGTTATGAAAGCATGGGGAAAACTAATTACTTCCTGTTGGAAAAGTTCTTTGTGTTCTCAGGTTCACTACTTCTCCTAGCTTTGGAATTTATGGCGCTTTGGCCTCGATGAAAGTTTTAACAGGAAGTGGTTAACAACGAAAGATTCACATTTCCGAAAATTCCTAAATGTTTATGAAGAAAACTTTAACCTTAATATCGAAGTTAGCATAATTTTCCCAGAAAAACTGATCACTCGAGTATTGAAATTCAGAAAATATACTCCCAAGTTGAAACTCTAGTTGAAAGTAACGAATATTTTTCTCCAAGAAGATATCGTGGTATCCCAATATACGTCGTGGGCACGGAATAGAAACATCAAAATCGATGATACGAGAATATTCCATCACTACTTGAAGGAGTTTATTTCACTCCCGGAGTATCAAAGGTTTGCCCAGGATCTAAAATTTTCGAAAGATAAACTCATTTGACGGCTTCACGGATACTAGTATATTGTAAAAGTGATCCTGACTCAAATTTCAAAGAAATATGATGGCGAGCATTCGAAAGGATCTCCGTCCACGGATGCTCGTGCATTTGCTATTGCCTTGCCTTTTATATACTTTGAACAGTATGCTCATGTACTTAATGAAACCATCAGAACTTGGTTGTTGCTGGAATTTCAATTATTTTGATATCGTGGTTGTTTATTAATCACTTTGTGTAATATTTTGTCTTATATGGGGATTCGGTGCTCTTATATTTGAACTATTTGGTCTGATGTACATCTGGAATGTCTCTTTGAACTCAATCTCTATGATCAACCTTGTTATGGCTTTGGGATTTTCTGTAGATTACAACGCACATGTCGCTTTCCACTTTGTTTCTCCAGGGCAACAACTCCCGAACTCCGTGTCATCGATGCTCTAAGCAAGGTAGGCGGCAGTGTTTTTAGGTGGGCTTAGCACATTCCTTGGAATGATGCCAACGGGATTTACCTCCTCCATGGTATTTCAGACATTTTTCAAAATGTTTGTTGGTATCGTTTTTCTTGGTTTACTTCATGGTTTGGTGATACTACCTGTGTACCTGTCTCTACTTGGAAAGCTCTTTAATCTTCGTGAAAGTAACCTTGACTTGTCAATCATGAAGTGGTTCAACATTACGAAAAGATACAAATCTAGTAGAAATACAAGCCGAGTTTATCTGAATTAGACGCAAAAACCAAACAGTCCAATCCAATTGCCATTGTCGGAATGAGTTGTCGTTTTCCAGGTGTGCAAACTCGAAAGATGCATTTTGGGATATGTTGGTGGAAGGGCGATGTAGTATTGGCTCTTATCCAATGAACAGGCCAGACGCAAGGGAGTTCACAGATTCGTTTAACCCAGGGAAGCACACACCAGGGAAGCATTACGTCCTTACCGGCGCATTTCTTGAAAATATTACAGGATTTGATGCTCAATTTTTTGGAATATCTCCAAGCGAAAGCCGTTCAATGGATCCCCAACAGCGAATACTTCTTCAAGTTGTCTTTGAAGCGATTGAAGACGCTGGCATACCCCTTGAGGACTTACAACAATGTCGAACTGGCGTTTATGTTGGATCTATGTGCACGGAATATAGTGCACTGGTTTTTGATCATTCGAATATTAGAAAGATTGATCAGTTCTCGTCAACTGGCTGCTCTATGTCAGTTATAGCCAATCGCATTTCTTTTTCGCTAACCTAACTGGCCCTAGCATCGCTTTGGATACTGCTTGTTCCTCGTCTTTGGTTGCTTTGGACATTGCATTTCAACACTTACAAACTGGCGAGTGTGACGCAGCTATAGTTTGTGCCCCTAATATAATTCTCATTGGAAACCAATTTCACACGGCATGCTGCAGAACTGGGCTGTTAGCCGAAGATGGTCGTTGCAAATGTTTTGATATCAAAGGTGACGGCTATGGGCGAGGAGAAGGTGTAGCTGCATCTTAATAAAACCTACCCAAACAGCCTTAGATGATAGAGATAATATCTATGCAGAGGTCTTGGCTTGCGGAACAAATAATGATGGCCAAACAGCGATTCCAATGACAGCACCTAGTCAGGTAACACAAGCCGCTCTTTTTAAGAGTTCTTCAAGAGTCAGGTCTGACCAAGGACGATATAACATACGTGGAAGCACATGGCACCGGTACAGCCGTTGGAGATGTCGTCGAAATGGGATCACTATCAGCAGTCTATGGCAATAGTGGCAAAAGATTACTTCGTGTAGGATCAGTGAAATCAAACGTAAACCATACGGAGTCAACAGCAGGTTTAGCTGGACTAATCAAGACATGTCTGATGATAAAACATGCCAATTTGTTCCTACTATTAATGTTCAACAAGTTAAACCACAGCTCATGATGCCTGAAAGAAAAATGGTGGTTCAAGTTTCCAATGAAACTTGGAAAACCGAGGATGATAAGCCGAGAACCGCCGCGGTATCTTCGTATGGATTCGGCGGCGCAAATGCCCATGCAATCATTAGGGAAGTAACTACAAAGCCAACTATAATCCCAAGCAGAAATTCATCCAACAGAGTTCTAACATTGTCGGCAGCGTCGAAAGAAGCATTGAGAGCAATGGCTAAAAAGGTGTCCTTATCGCTAAAGATAAAGCCTGATGACGACGAACTTCTTAAAGATAATATTTGTTATTCCCTCAACGAAAGGTACACAATGCAACTTTATCGCTTGGCGGTTAGCTTTATTCATTTCAAGATGCAGCTAAGGCATTAGATATGTTCTCTGATCAGGAAAACGGATGGGAAGATTGGTGGCTACAGGGGCCGTCACTAAGCCGCGTCGTGAAGTCGTATTCCTCTATGGTGGTCAAGGTGCACAGTGGTATGGTATGGCAAGAGAAATGCTAGTTCATGAGTCAAAGTTCAAGGAAAGCATTGAAAAAATTGACGCACTCCTTAAACAATACCAAGCCCCCTGGTCCTTGATTTCTGAGCTCAAGAAACCCGCAGAAACGTCGCGAATTCATGAAAACCAATCGGACAGACGGCTCTGTTTGCCATACATTTTGCTTTAACCGAGCTACTAAAATCATGGGGTGTTTTACCGTCCGCGGTTATTGGTCATAGTCTTGGAGAAATATCTGCAGCCTGGGCATCTGGAGCATTAAATTTGAATAAAGCTTTGCAGTTGGTTTTGTTTCGCTCTCAACTTCACGAGAAATGTTCACCAACAGGATGTATGGCTGCCATTGGGATGACAGAAAAGGAAGCTCGACATATGCTGCAAGATCTTCAACTGACAAATGAGGTCGACGTTGCCGCCGTGAATAGCCCAGGTAATGTTGTGTTATCTGGTAGCAAAAGGTCAATGGAGCTGGTGGAAAACCATGTGTCCAGTGAAAGAAGCAATCTTTTTTGGAAGAAACTTACTACGACTCGAGCATACCATAGTAGAGAAATGGATGAAATAAAGCCAAGCATTCCTTAATCTCACAAAGGATTTCAAAGTTTGTGAAACTTCAAGCAATGTGCCATTTTATTCAACTGTTACCGGCACTAAGTTGCCCGGTAATCTCTTATCACTTGACCATTGGTGGCGTAACATCCGACAAGCGGTTTTACTGGAGCCCGTATTAAAAAAGATGTTTTCGGATGGTCACCGGTTCTTTATTGAAATAAACGCAGTACCTCAGCTTTCATACCATGTTCGTCAGACTTGGTCTCACAATCATCCGTCAGATTCTCTACGTTCAAACGACGTCGTTGTGGTTCAAACTCTACCAAAACAATCAGTGAAAAGCCAGCACTTATCATTTCTTCAAAACTGCGTGGCTCGCCTCTTCGCAAATGGTGTTCCCTTATCTTGGAACAAAGTGCAAGGCTCGGGATCGAAAACATTTTTCCCCCGTCCAACATATCCTTGGCAAGAAACAAAGTATTGGTACCGCGAATCGCATCCACCAGAATGTGTTACATTTTACGATGAGCACAAGACTAATGAAGAAAATAAGAAAACCACCAAATTCCATCCCCTTCTTGGTAAAGTAGTCCCGACGGAAACGTTCAGTGGTTTGCTGGCTTGGGAATCTGAAATCAATTTGCACGATGTTTCGTATCTCCAGGATCATAAATTTTCTCAATCTTCAAACCCCTTGATACCTGCCGCTGTTTATATAGAGATTGTATTTGCTATGTCCTTGCACTTGTCTCCACGGGCAGCGCCTGATGTTCGAAACATCAGTTTCGATAGTCTACTGTCCATATCCGAGAATGACTCGCACAAGATAAGAACACGTCTTCTACCTGAAAAATCCCTTGGTGGAAATAAATCATTTCAGATCTCTGCAGTGGAAAGCGACGAGCGAGAATTAACTGTCTCTCAGGGTTCCATTCAGATTGGTATTGATGATGGATATAGATCGAAAGGTAAACCGAATACATTTCTAGCAAATATTTTGAACGGCGTACGCAAATGATAGTGATATAAGACTAGCTAAATTGTATAAATATAATGCCTATACCAAAGTTTAATGTACAGTGTTTCAAAAAAAAACTTTGCAATGCATTTTATTATTGAAAAATTTAGGATTTATTAGTGTCAAATAAGGAATGACGTCAAATAAGGAATTTCATTACGTCAAATAAGGAATTTGTGCAACTTAATTCAACAAAAGAAAACTGATTTGCAATTCCCAATTTGACATGATGTCCGGTATATTTAAATGCTAATAAATCCATCAAAAGTTTTCCATAACAAAATGTGATTGGACAGTTTTTTAAAATACCTTAAACTTTTGATCTATTCAAACATCGCAACCATGGTATAGACACTTATGCAGTATGCATGCAGTGATATTAATCTTGCGTGATAGTGATCATAACCTCAAAGCGTGATAGTGATGTATAGGTAACTATTTAAAACACGAGAGGGAGCATTTTATAATATTTAAATCGCGATGCGAAGCCGGATGTTTTAATGTAATATATATTTAGTGAAAATCATTTAGTGAAATCATTCAGCGAAAGATTGACTGAAATGAAATCAATTTTATTATTATTAAATGTTATTTACAGACACTAGTCCCGTCAGTTACCACTGATTTCCACGGGGGCGTCTACTTAATTACACTATGAGCTATGACATATACAAATAGAATTATGAGCTATAATATATACAAATAAGTGTTGACACAATAAATATAGATCGGCCTGCTTCACTGAGTTTATGAGCCTCTTGAAATAGCGAATTGATTGAGCAGACTTAGCTTCATGCTAAAGACAGTTCCATAATACAGCTCCTATATATTTAAAATTTATTTGGAGAAACTCTTTCTTAGGTCTCAGAATTAAGAAATCAGTATTGTAATTTCTCAGTTTATAACCATTTTCATTTACACTTCGCTCAGAAAAGGATTTGCGAAGGCATGGGGCAGTACCGTTTTTAGAATATTATGTACGAGAACTGCTTTGCTAGACTTATATTTAGTTTTGAGATTTTTGCATCCACTTTCCCACTTTTTTTTAGTAACAGCCCACAGTTGTCCCAAAGAGGGGAACAATAATCAAAATATGGTTTAATTAAGGCTTTGTAAATGGTGTGCATAGTTTCATCAATTGCCCATCTATAGTTATGTTTTCATGCAATGTCTATTTCGCTTATAAAATGGTATTTATGGTAGCTATATATTATGTAGTATATATAAAAAACTACTCGCTCGATCTCGTCGTATATGGCTGATAGCCATATCATTAAAAATACTAAATAATGACAGCTATTATTATTATAACTTCTGGGTTGCACCTAAACGACGCCATAATTGCTACAAGGCGTCGTGTCCAGGTAGAAAGCGCAGTGCTTATCTTCATTTAACGCTTATTCAAAGCTTTTTCATTTTAGAAGTCTCCCAGAAAGGAAATCCGTACGATATTGAAATTCTTAAATCTTCAATGGAAGAATGGTCAAGGGCAGATTTTCTTAAAGCTCGTGAAACTGCGGGTTTCGCATTCGGTCCTCAGTTTGACTTGATAGTCAGGGCGTGGTCCAGTGGCAATGAAGCCCTTTCTCTCATATGTCCGACTGAAGAAATCGCTAATACAGAAGAATATGTCTTGCATCCTTCGGTGATTGATGCATGTTTACAGACAACCATTCTGTTGGACATCAAATCTGTCGTTAAAGCTGTGCCAAAGGAGATTAAACGCATCAACATTTTGAAACAGACGACGTGCACGCAGCAGTTTTATGCTCACGCAAAGATCGTAGAATCAGAAAAAGGAGAGGCGTTTAACATTTTCCTTTTGGATCAGTGTGGCCGTGCTTTGATGATTATTGACCAGTTTACTATAGAAGAAATACTGTCAGATCGAGAGGAAGTGAAATTTGATAACGCAGTGTTCACATTTGGTTGGCAGCAGTTGGCGTCTGGCTCTTCAAAAGTTCGTGAGCATTACGTTTGGCTGATTCTGAGAGACCAAAGTAAATTTGCTGAACGATTTGCACAGCATGTCCTGCAAAGCGGAAGTGTTCATTTTGTTGACAAACAAGATACCTCAGATGAATCTCGTGATGCATTTTCCCGATCGCTAGATAAAGTATTGGGGAAAATAGAAGCTAATCAAAAGCTAATGGTGATCAATTTCTGGCCTGTGGATGCAAGCAAATTCAATATCGATACGCGCAACTTTGATGCTGCTCATAGCTCTGCGTTTGAGAGCTGTCTTTTGATTTCTCAAGAAATTTTAAAGAGAGAAGAGTTTCTCAAACAGATTCAGCTTGTGTTCATCACTTCAGGAGTGATTTCAATTCCTCAACTAGAACGAAGTTCTGATGATACTTTTCCATGGTCTGGATCTGTATTTGGATTTAGAAGAACCTTCTCAGAAGAAATCACTGTCCCCACTGCCTCTGTGATTGATTTGCCGGCCAATCCTAGCGATGAAGATTTCCATGCAATTGCACAAGACATTGAAAAAACATTGCTAGAAGAAGAGATTGTATATAGAAATGGTGAACGGTATGTCAATCGTATTCAAAAGTTTGATCCTGACGAGTCCAAATGTACGAAAAGGGAATCACCTTTAGGGGAAGATGGAGCACTAAAGCCTGTAAAGATGGCGAGTTGGTCAGGTCAGTGGTTTCTACAGAAAGGGTCAAAAGAACGGATTGGAGAAATTGAAGTCTACTATGCCTGTCCTATTCTTCATAAGCATTGGAAAGATCTGAAACCGAACGATCTTATTTCAATTGCTGGGAAAATGTGCAATGGACTGGAGGCAAACAATGATCCCTTTGTGTTGGGCATCTGTAAAATTGATAATCTTGGAAGTTACGTTGCCGCAGAGGAAACCTGCTTCACGGAGATAAAAGCCATTTTCACCACTCAACAAGCTGTGTCCATTGGATTTCCCATGGCAATGTCTTACTACATTCTCACAAATCTTCTTTGTGGCATAGAAGGTGATAAGAAAGTTCTTGTCTATCATCAAAGTGAAGAAGTATGCTACATTTTTGCTTGCGTTGCCGCGTCTGTAGGTATAAATGTTGTGTGTCTTGTTCACAATCCGTCAAGTAAAGATCGATTTGGAGAGTTATTGGTTGTAAGTGAAAACGAAGTAGCGAAAGCTGAACATAAGGATAATAGCTGTAAGGATTTTGATGCTGTTTGCCTTCTGAGCAGAAGCAGTACTTATGTCACAGGTGAAATACTGAAACATCTTAAACAAGGAGCAAGTGTTATTACATGTACCCTCGACGGGGCCGAAATTATGATGCTTAACTCATGGGTTTACGTGAAAGATGTTCGCTTTATTTTGACTAGTTTACAAGACATAACTAAGAGTTCTGCAGATTTTTCCATGCTATTGGATTCGTGTTATTCAGTCTTGAAAGCGAAAGGGCTTTGGAACAAGCTTCTAGATATAGCTCAAAAAGCATCGAGCATATACGATGTTATGCAACGTGGCGATGAATCCAATAACCGATGCCTACCTGAAGTTGAACGAAAAGGGAACTTTGGTTTAAACATAATTTCTGTGAAGCCAGAGACAGTTCCTGGGCAGGTTGATTTCTATAATCTACCTCTTGACATCAATGGTTTAAAAAATGATCGAACTTATCTTGTCATTGGGGGGTTCGAGGTTTTGGATTCCAAATCGCAAGATGGATGGTTGAAAATGGGGCAAAAACAGTCATGTGTACAGCGCGGTCACCACCAAGTGACGAAAAGATTGCGGAGGTCCAACAATTAGAGAAGAAAACTGGATCTCGTATCCTTCTACGTCAAGCAGACGTCACATCTTGGGATGAAATGAATGCCATTAGAAGCGAACTAGAAAGTCTACCTGATGTAGCTGGAATCGTTTTTACCGCTATGGTATTGGCCGACCAGTTTCTCAAGAAAGCCGATTTGAAGACATGCAGAAATGTTGTAGGGACAAAGGTGAAAGGTAAGTCTTTTCATTATAGCCCTTCACGCTATTGAATTGTACCCTAGATCGACAATTTTATTTTTAATTACCACGATCTCTGCTAATCGTGCTTAAAGAAAGCCTTTACCCATAAATAATGAACTATGCCTTTGTTAATTATCAATAATGAACAATAATCTCTTTGTAATACATTTGTTAATTACTCCGGCGTGAACGACGGAGTTGAAAATTCGCTTGTTTTTTTTGTTTTTTTATTATTTTTCGTCGTCGCAAGTGTGTTTTGGCGCAAAATATACTTGTATTTGAAATGTGTATGTGACCGTATTTTTCTAAGTGACAGTTTTGTCTCCCGAGAGTTGTGGTGCACACCTTTGGTTAATTTCCCGATGCGCGATTCGATTTCGCTTGCATGATATGGCAATTCTCGGTCTATTGCTATTCCCATTTATACCGTAATAATATTATTATAATTCGTATAATAATTGTGAAAACCATGTACTATTACATTTTTAATTAAAAACTTAATAGCTATCTTTTATTTCTAATAGAAGTGTATCCTTCACCAACTCATCTTTCGATGGATCTAGATTTCTCATTATGTTTTCCTCAATATCTGGAGTTCTTGGTAATGTTGGGCAAGCATCTTACGCTGCAGCTAACACATTTTTAGACCAACTATGTGAATAGTCGAAACAAGCTTGGCCTGCTGCTTTCTATTAACTGGGGACCGATCAGTGGTGCTGAGTACTGGAAAGAAATGCAGATATCACATCAGTCCTGGAAACCTACGGATTTTTTGCTCTTACTATACGCAAGTATATTCAAATAACAACTTGAAACACATTCCTGCAGAACTCCTAGCTACTTCAAATCAAGAAAATAATCCATTAAGCTAGGCACATTATGAAATTACTCAATAAGAAAGAATTGAATCGGTGGCAAATTTTTTGGTACAAAAATATTGTCGCAACATTGTATTGGTTATAAGTATACATAATTATTCACCCACTTGGCAATGATTTTTCAGGTCTATATTTTTTCAGCAACTGAGTTTATGGAACGCATCATTCTTAAAAATTTTAACGAAGCTCAAGTTTGCATATCTCCTGTGAATTGGCAAGTTTATCTTAGAACTCATAATTCTCTGAGGTTCCAATGGAAACGAGAAGAAACGCTGGTAGTCTTGGACAATTTAATGACATTGGAGAGCCTAGCACTACTACCGTTGGATTTGAGAATTCAAAAAGTTCAAGATTTCATTAGGCGTTTGCTCAGTTCGTGGTCAGGTAGTGAGGCCTCTGAAGTGGACTTAAACATCGGTCTGTACAAGTTTGGAATCGATTCAATTGCTGCAACAAATATGAAACATCGAATTGAAAACAACATTGGGGCTAAATTTGAGGTAAGTCTCTTGATGAAAAAAGAGATCAATGAGCCAGCAAAAATGTTATAAGATACTCAAAAGTGCTTTTTTTTACTCGTGTAGCTATAATTGTAGGAGAAACCAAATTTGCTATTACTTATTAATGAAACGATGCACTAATCAGTTATACGACGGAAAATTGCACTCGTGTGTAAGAATCACGATCTTTTTCCTTCCAATACGAGCTCATAACACCTATCCTTCTTTTTCGACTAATTTCTTAAAGAAATTCACGCACTATTAAGAGTAGACACTTAACAATTATTAAACGAGAGCGTTTCACGAGCATTTAGCGAAATATAAGTTGGGATAATGTTCTAATTGTCTCAAAAGCGAGCAATTTTCTCTCGATTTTGCATAATTTAACCACATTTATGAAATTAATACGCTATCTCTAATATATTTATAATATCATCCTTCACTCTATGTAAGTTTTATTTAAATTAAGCGCCAATAAAATTATGCATGGATGAAATGCTAATTCGGGTGTTTTTCCTCAACATATAGGCTTATTACTTTATCCAACCAAATGTGAATGGTCTAAGAATCGTTAATGATATTCTGGAACAAATAGAAAACGTAGAATCGACGAGTGCGGACAATGAATCCTCGGAAGAAGTAAAGCAAAGGAAACCAAGTTTGTCAAGTAACGATGAAGAAGATAAAAAAATATTTCACCTGAAATTAACTACAATGACACAGTTAAGATTGGAAGAATTAACAATGGGCTTGAGCTGCAGAACATAAATATTCCTTCAAATCCAGAGAAAGTTATTCCAATTTATACTCCAGATAACGTATTTGTTAAAGTATTTATGACACACTCCAGCGAAAAGTCGGCGCTTGGACTAGCGTCATTCGCGCAAGGTTTCCAAAAACAGGTAACGATTTCAAGCAACTTGGTCCGGTTGCAGGGTAAAAAATCAGATTCTTATTATATCAGATTCATAAATTATATATGGATAAAAAAACAAACTATTAACAGTTATTGCATGACGCTGAGCATGATATTGAACAATTATTGGATGAGGTTTTTGTGATATGCAGAGTTATCAAGGTCGGGGTAAGCGTTATCGCTTACCGAGACCTTGATAACTCTGCATATCACAAAAACCGAATTCAATAATTGTTTTATTATAAATTTGAAGAATAATAAACATAGTATTAACGAATGAATTCAAATGAAACCGCTTGTTAACTACCGCAGGCTCACTAGCAGATAACTCAGTTATCTGCTAGCAGATAACTGAATTTTGCGTGATTGCGCGATTTATCTGTCAACTATTAGCCAGTCAAATTGCTTTTACTACTATAATGTATAATAACAAGAAATATTTGGACCAAGGCCAATGCTATCTGCCGAAGCGAAGCTAATAATTGTTTAATGTCGTTGTAAGTGACAAGTCAGTGAAAATTGTCTGTAGGCTCTTACCCAATCAGAATCTAGGTAGAACCAAACTTGTATCAATTAAGATGCATAAAGTTATCAATCAATAATAATATCAATTACGACCTTACGCTGGGTTTGACGAAAAACCATATAAAACTGCAAATCTCGAGGCATTTTTATGCCCTGATTGATAGAAATAAAAAATTATAGGTAAATAAAAAATTATACGTGGTTTAAAAACACTTTACCGCAGTAAGTTACGCTGTATTACATGAATTAAGGCAGTGTCTAAATCTATCCTATCTATCTAAAATGCAAGTTCAGGGGATATACGCAATTATTATATGTACATATGAAGTGATTCTCCATCATTTCACAAATTAAATTATTTAATGCTTGCATCTGGTATAGAGTGATGGCATTCGTTCATCAGTTATTATTTTTTTCAGGCACATGTTGCATTATATGGTATTGGAGTGGACGATACGTCATTTGAGAGGAGTGAATATGGAACGGTGCTGACACTCGCTCGTAGATATGTAGATTTAATAAAAAAATCCAGCCTGAAGGTCCATTTTATCTTGGTAAGAACAAATTATATGAAAACTATATTGTTACCAACTAGAAATTAAAAATAATAAATTTTACCGTATCGTGTCATTCAAGAGGGGTCTTTTAGTTACATCAGTTACGTCAGTTATTGTAGCTGGATGCTCGCTCATGCCCACGATTTTTGAAACGCATTTTCAGCTGGCTACTCGTTCGGCGGTCTGTTGGCTTACGAAATGGCGAGTGAGCTGAAAAGAAATGGTGAAACTGTTGCAATGGTGTTCATGGTGGATACGTTCGCATGGCACCCTAAAGCCCTAACAAACGGTAAAGAATTGATGCGAAAGACCACCGAGTTAACCTTAAAGTCAACGGAAAAATATGTGGTAAAGAAAAATATAAATTTTCCTATATTACTCAACGGGGAAAATAGTTATATAGTTATTTTTATTCTTGTTTTTCAATTAGTTTCTATGTTTGGCAAAGTGGATCCTGTGTTTGAGAAACATCCGTTGAACTTTCTGCTTTGAATTAATTTTGAAACTAGAAAAATTTTAAGTAAAATATTTAACAAACCATCCTAAAATTGTTAAAATGGGAAGCTTTGTTAATTAATATACAATTTTTCAATATTTTGGAAACAAAAATTTTTCCAATTATGCTCATTTTGGGTGGCTTTTTTTGATGTTCAACCCGGTGACGGATTGGTTTCTCTTTTTAAAAATTGAGTTTCATAGTGGTTCTTTGTATACTTCGAGAATCCAAGCCCTAAATATATTTTTCGATTGGTTTCGTTATTTCGATAATGATTAAGTATGTTGTTTAATGAGAATTCAAACTGTTTACTCAGGATGAATGAATTTTGAACACTAAAAGAAATTTTGATAAACCAATGCTTTACCTTTGTCCCAAAACATGAACAGATCACTGCTTTGGTTTTTTGTTTTTTTTTGTCGTAAATAATTATGCACGGTTGGGCGAACAGAAAATGCTCATACATGTTACATTGTATAAATTCCTTCTCAGACAAGACGACTGCTCGAAAAAATTGCTTTCGTCGAAATGGGTAAGAGTAAACATGACGTCAATGATTATTACGAGGAATTGCAACATCAGGAAAAGGTTATTGATGTTTTGGAGGATGAAGCTGCTGAAAAGAATATTGTGCTTCGTTTGAAAGAAAGAATTGAGACAACTAAGTACGAAGTCAGATCTGCTGCTGAAGCTCATTTAGATTGGCAGCCTTCTAAGGTATATAACATTCAGTTTATCATGGTATTTTATCAACAAGGAAGAATTGCTTGACATTTACATTGTAACGACCGATTTTCTTGTCTTTTGGCAATAATTATTAAATACTCAATAGTGTGTACCTAAGGGACCGATGAATTAGAATTTCTCTTTTTAAAGGTATCCTATGACGGGGTATTGACATTCGTTTGCTGTGACGAAACTAAGTCATTCTCTCTTAGCAAGCCAGAGATATGGAAAACGTTAGTTGAGAGAATGGATTTCCTTTACGCCCCTGGAAGTCATCTAAAAGTACGAGATGGAGCTAGTGGAGAAACGTGTGGATCCATGATAATGACAACAGCAGCAATGAGCTACCTTTCCAAATCTCTACACCACAATTTCCAGGCTGTAAGAACAAGGCGTGAAGAGAAATTGGTGGAATTTCTAAAGCAAGGAATTGTTATCTGGATGCTTTCAAGTAAGCAAAATATTAAGTAATTTAGCTTGGTGCAACACGTGAGTATTTAACACTGCAAAGCTTTCGGTCCGTTGAACCGGCCGGGCCTTCATCAGTGCAATTACCTGAAATTAATTACCTGCAATTAACGGTCCGAAAGCTTTGCAGTATTAAATACTTACGTAGTGTACCTACAAGCTAAATTACTTAACGACTGTCACCGGCCATGCAAACATACAAGAATATTAAGCAAAATATTTTTATTGGGTAACGTGCTTCTGAAGAAATATAGCTGCGAAAGCATCGGCAATCGAGCTGGGGAATCCTATTCTTAATTATAGGGGTCAAATATTGTACGGCTATTTTAAAGCCCCATTTTGAAACCATTTTTAAGGAGCCTTTTGTTTGGTCACTTTTACAGCGTGACTTCGCACATGCGACACATCTTAAATCGTTAATTTATTTGTTTTGCATCTAGGTTTCTCAAAATGGGTGAAAGGCACTCTCCAGAGATTCCGAAGAAACAGTGTTTAATTTTGAATATAAATCCTTAGGATTGTTTACAGTACGAAAATTTTTTATCAAAGGTAAGCCCCAGATTACGAATACCAACCTTTTGGGCCAATATAAACTTTTGATCTGAATGAGAAAAATTATTAGTATCTTGAAAATTATCGAATTAAATAGAGGTTGGATTTCAGTTCATTGAAATACAGCCGCAGTGTCAAAAGGAACGACATAGTCGAGGGCCGGGTGCCACCCCGCGCACACACTGTATAGCTCCCAAGATGTTGCTCTTTCGTCCACAAAGACACCCTTCTTTGAGGCCTCAATTATGTCTTCTTTGTGGCGTTCATTATTATGTGTTGTAATAGTTGGTCAAAGATTTTTTCTTTTGAATACCGCCCTGTTACCCTCATTAGATCAAAACATAAACAAAAGACGATTTTTAGGTTGATAGAGTATTGCATGCATATTCATGTGATTACTTTACTTTTTAAGATTTGACAAACATCATGCCTGGTAGGCATGTTGATGAAATCCGTAAACGCCATGGCAACAATCCTTTCATTGATTTCCTCACTTGTATGTTGACCAAAAACGGCGGGCTTTGGACGTTTCATTCTTTGGATTTTCAGCGGCTCAAATTGCTGGTCGATGCTTTAGAAGCTCTTTTTGGAATACCGTTCGTGCAGTGACGGGAACCACAACGGACAACGGTCAATCATTATAATTTGATAGATGAAGTTAATAAGAAGTGTATTGTTTACCATTAGCATTTTTATTAAAACAACTTGCACTCATGGATTTGTTGCAGTGTAGTTTACTAAGTTTAGGAACAAAAGGAACTTAATTGTTCTAGGCAAAGTAAGATAAATCTTAGTAAAGCGTAGAACATAAATCCATATATGCAACCTAAATTACAATATTACTTTTTTATATATTACAAACAATATTACATTCTCTAAAAATATTTCTATTTTGTGTTTGTGATCTTCCACGGGAAAACACACGTTAATGCTGTCGATTAACTTCGTTAGTTTGTTACTATTTACTAACCGTTGTCGTTGGTTAGTTCGCGTAAACGGTAGACGCTTCAAATGTTCGTTCAAAAGATTTTAGAAAACGGTCGTAACTTGAAAGTCCTGTCCCAAAAATGAAAAACCCTATACAGTAAGCTGTAAGCATTAAACATTATGGAGTTTGGAGTTTTATTAAAACAAATCTGAATGGCAGCTACGTAGGATGTTGAATTGTACATGCAGAATTTTCTTACTAACCTGATATACATTCAAAACTATTACACAACATTATATATTAAAAATTAACATGATAGAGACTACGACATGGACTACGATACTGGACAGCATAAACAAATTAGGAAACCGACTAGTTCTACAAAATTAAATCAAGATATTTATTATTACGTAGATTATACTTATTTTAAGCTTTAGGGATTTAGAGAAAAGTTTCTTTGAGACTTTAGATTATTTAATATAGCACGAAAAATAAAGAGGTGCACGTTGAACCTTAATGAACAAACGCTGGAAATTCGGCGTGTCTTTAGCAAATCAGATAATTCGGTCTTTGCACTTGGAGTGATTTAGGACCATATCATTTTCTGTGCACCAATCGTCAATTTCATCGATAATAGACAGCATATTGCTGTGAGCACATTCCCCAATTGTTTCGGAGAGACTGGTATCGTCGACTTACTTCCATCTTTCTTTGTGGTTTTGTGGCTACATGATTACGAATGATAAGGAGGAAAATGGGTCCAAAGGATTGTACCTTGCAACGAAAATTTAACATATCACTTTGCAGTAATGTATATAATATGTAAATATATATAATACCGGGTGTCTCAAAAAAAGTACCGGTGTTTGATTTAATATGATGTAAAAACTATACCAGGTATGGCTTTCAAATAAGTTTTATAGTATTAAGAAAATGCTAACTTCAATTTTGGTATACAGTGCTAGATCTTTCACCTTATATTCAGTGAGATATAAATGTTTCAAGCCAAACTTCAGTTTTAAAACTGGCGAAAAATCAATTAAGACAACTTAATAAATTTATTTGAAGACATTTTCTATTTTTTTCGCGAGTTCTGAAGTTTTTAAAGAAGTTAGCTTCAATCTTGTATTATTTTATGGTTTACATAAAATACTTTGACCTTTGTTCCTTGTGGGAAATGAAAAATGCCAACATTTCTTGTCCAAAGTTCGCCAAACGCTTTGATTTGCCTCATGGGACCTCAGGCATGCAAGCGAATTAGGATATCGTTATTTTATACCAAGTTGAATATGCTTCAGCTAACAAAAGATCAAAGAGTTTGGGCTCGTATTGAGTATGCAAGGGTAAATAATGCCGAAGAGGTAAGAAGGCGATGGCTAGGACGTTGGCCAGGTGATCGTGCTCCGACTAGAGCAGCAATTAAAAGAACGTACAACAAATTTTTGACAGAAGACACATGTCTTAACCTCAATAAAGGATGGAGTGGAAGGACGAGAACTGGAAGAACGATGGAAAACATTGACCTAGTCCGACAATCTCTGCTAGAAAATGGACAACGTTCCACCAGAAGAAATGGTCTGGGATTAAGTCGATGCACGTTCAATCGCATTGTGAAAATCGACCTGAAATTTCATCCGTATGTTTTAATACGCAGACAGGCATTAAAAGAAGGCGACCCAGCACAACGGCTTGCATTTTGCAATCGATTTGTTGGCACAGTTGACAAAAATCCTGGTTTTCTTGATCAATTTAATAGTTTCTGATGAAGCGGTTTTCACCCTTAACTCTGAAGTAAACTCTCGCAATGTTGTCAGATACGCGCAATATGGTAACGGTCACCCTCGCGAACATTACGTTGAATTCGTTCAAGGTGCCGAACAAGTGATGGTTTGGGCAGGTTTAACAAGAGCTAGTACTATTCTTGGCCCACATTTTGTGGAAGGGAATCTCGACAGCAGAGAGTATTTACGAATTATTCGCTATCATGTAATTCAGAGAGATTTTTGTGAACACAATATTGACCATCGTGTAATGTGGTGGCAGCAAGACAGTGCCCCTTGCCACACCAGCAATGCGACGATGCGATATCTTCGCGGACAGTTTCTAGGCAAGGTTATGGGAAAACGCGCCGATTGGCCCTGGCCTCCTCGATCTCCTGATCTGGCAATTTACGACTTTTTTCTTTGGGGATATTTGAAGCAACAAATCTGGAACGTCCCGCATGAGCAGCAGCCTAGGAATTTGAGACAGCTCCGCCAGGCAGTTATCTTAGCGTGCCAAAGTTTAGATGCACAAATGGTACAAAACGCTTTTTCTGGCGTGGTTAATAGAGCACGACGTTGTATAGGTGTTCAAGGACATGCTTTTTCAGATGTATAAACTATCGAATGTGTTAATATTTTTTATTATGTGTTGTGTTGACAAGAACAGCAATTTAATTAAATGCTAATTTGATCGGCTGATTTAATGTAATTTTAAGCATTTTCAAAATTGCTCCTTCGAAATGAAACTGTATTATTTCATTCAATATTGCTCAAATATATTCAAATCATATATCAAAATTTTATTTAGGCCTTTCTGAATTCAGTGAAGTCTATTCGATTGAAACTCCTTATTCAGTTTTAAAGGTATAACAAATCAAACACCGATACTTTTTTATGAGACACCCGGTATATATAATACATATATATATATAATATATATAATATATATAATATATATATATATAATATATATAATATATATATATAATATATATAATATATATAATATATATAATATATATAATACATATAATATATATATATATATAAATAATAATATATATAATATATATAATATATATAATATATATAATATATATAATATATATAATATATAAATATATATAATATATATATATATATAATATATAATATATATAATATATATAATATAATATTATATAATATATATAATATATATAATATATATAATATATATAATATATATAATATATATAATATATATAATATTATATATATATAAATATATATAATATATATAATTATATAATATATAATATATATATAATATATATAATATATATAATATATATATATATAATAATATATATAATATATATAATATTATAAATAATATATATATATATAATATATATATATATATAATATATAATATATATAAATATATAATATATATAATATATATAATAATAATATATATAATATATATAAATAATAATAATATATAATATATATATATAAAATATATATAATATATATAATATATGTAATAATATATAATATATATAATATATATAATATATATAATATATATAATATATATAATATATATAATAGACACTACAATTAAGTGAAGTATCCAAGAAGAAAGAGTGCTCGATATCAAAATTTAATAGAGCGATTAAAATAAAATCAATGAAATATTACAAAATTTTGAATGGGCTATATTGTTCGCTACACTCTGTGTTTCACGTTTCTTCTGAAACGATCATCAGGCG